GGAGGGGTGGCTAAGACGGTGGTGCCACAAGAGAGTCTCGTGAGATAGGAGGCGACACGAGCAGGGGGCAGACTCAGGACCAGACCTGGACGCAGCAGCAAACACCTAACCCGACGCTGCTACCTGGCCAAACGCAGGGACTGGAGGAGACTCAACGGTCAGGGTGTAGAGACTCGACCCGGGTCGACGCGAAAATGTGGCTAGGTGTCGGCCTGTGCGGGCGTCCGAGCAGTGGGTCCCTCGCTGACTCGCAGGAGTAAACTGGTGAACCCCCGCATCCTGCAGGTCAGCACCACTCACCAAGTTCGTCGAGAACGAGGGGAGGTACAGACCCGACAGGGTGCTCGAGGGGGCAGCCGGACACGGGAGGACAGTGGAGAAGTGAGCGAGGACAGTTCCCCCAGAGGGGTCAGCCAGGGAGACTGCAACCGGCCTACCAAGCGATGTGAGTGTGGTGCGGTCTCGAAAGAAGGAGCGAGAAGCCCCTGAGTCAAGTGTGAAGGTGAGGGAGGCCGAAGCCGACGCAGTACCTGAGAGCGCAGCCACACTGGTACCTGAGAGCGCAGCCTCACTGACACCTAGAGCAGTAGCCTCACAAGCACCTAGCGCAGCAGTACCAATGCCCGGGTCGGGCGGGAAACACTGGTAACAGTCACCCTCATCACTAATAGTCACAGCATACATGGCAGCAAGGATAGCATCAAAGTCAATATCAAAGATAGCCACGCCAGCCCTAGACAGCTCTCCCCAGCGGGGGATCTCCGTGGCCTCCGGAAACTGCTGACGCCAAGCGTTCGTCAGGCGGCCAAAACAGCGCTGGGTGGGGTGGGCACCCCCACACTGCTCACCCGCGCGGTCGCCGGTGCGAAGGACGTAGGTGCAGGGACCAAGTCCCCCACCACGCTGACGTTGCGTGTACCACTCACGGAGCTGCTGAGGGGTGGGGACGTCGCGAGAACGCTGCTGCTGCTGCTGCTACTGCTGCTGGTGGCGCTGACCACCCCTAGTGCCGCTCCGCTGTAAAGTGCCACTCCGACCACCTCCACCACCTCCTCCTCCACCTCCTCCACCTCCGCCACTGCCGCCACCCTCGCCGGTACCGCCGCCGCCGACGCCTCCTCCGCCACCACTGCTGCCACTAGCACCCCCACTCCCGCCACCTCCTCCACCGCCACCCCCACTCCCTCCGCCGCCTCCACCTCCACCGCCACTGCCCCCGCTAGCCCCACCCGCTCCGTTGCCCCCCTTGCCCTTGCCAGAGCGGCGTCTCCCGCTAGGGGCAGACGCCGCACCGACCGACCCAAGACCAACGAGGTCGGCCGCAGCGGCAGAGGCGACAGAGGGCAAGACAGGGGAAGGAGAACACCCCTCAAAGATGGGGGCGCGGGGGTCACCTCGAGAGGCTCCTACAGCGACGATGCTCTTCTCCGCCGCTAGGAGGGCCTTCTCTAGGCTGTCGACTGTGAGAGTGGTGGGACAGACCGCGAGGAAGTGGTCCCGGACTACACAAAGGGAGTCGGGGAGGCGGGTGACTAGAAAGTAGAGAGTGATGTACATGGGGGGGGGGTTCTTGGCGCAGAAGTCAGCAGGAAGCGCAGCGCGTTAGCGGGTGTCACTAGTGCGGAGATGCATAATGAGATCAGCGACTGTGGGAAAGGCGGCAAGGTCAGGGAAGAGGAAGGGTAGCATGAGGCGGCTCAGTGCAGCAGTGGCAGGGGAGGAGTAGCGGGCAACTACAACGTCGTACAAGGTCTGAGCACTCTTGTACTAACTAAAGTGTGCATGCTCTGAGGTAGGGAGGTGGCGACGCACAGCAAGATGTGCAGCAGCATCGCGCGTAGCCCACTGGGAGCGAACAGTAGGGTCAGCATCAGCAGCAAGGGCAGGGGAAGCGCTAGAGGTAAGGTCAAAGTGAGAGAGGTCGTTTGCCCTATCGCACTGTAAGAACAGCTGGAGGTCATCTACCCAGACCTCAAAGTCAAAGTCAATGGCCCGACCCTCAGCGTCAAAAGCGAGGACACTGGGGGTAGCCATGGCGACAGACGCCTAGCAGTGCAAGCAGTAGGGTGAGGGCAGCGCAGTGAAAAAGAAGGCTCTGTGCTCACCAGACTGTGCAGAACGGGCCGTATGGAAGTAGGGCAGCTCAGCGGCCGGCGGCTCGGCTGCGGGGCGGCTCGGCTGCTCGGTGGCTCGGCGGCTCGGCGGCTCGGCAGCTCGGGTGTTGGACGGCTTGGCTGCTGGGCGGCTCGGCGGCTCGGTGGTCGGCTGCTGGGCGGCTCGGCGGCTCAGCGGCTGGGCGATCCGGCGGTCGGGCGGCGGGTGGGCTGCAGGTAGGGCGGCGGGCATGCCGGAGGTAGGGCGTCTGGCGGGCCGCTGAGTAGGGCGGCGTGGGCCGCAAAGTAGGGCGGCGGGGCCGTCGATGTAGGGTAGGGCGGCGGGGCCGCAACGCAGGGCGGCGGGGCCGCGAAGTAGGGTAGGGCGGCGGGGCCTCGACGTAGGGCGGCGGGGCCGTTAAAGTAGGGCGGCGGGGCCGCAACGTAGGGCGGCAGGGCCGTCGTAGGGCGGCGGGGTCGTCGAAGTAGGGCGGCGGGGCCGCGACGTAGGGCGGCAGCGCCGTCGAAGGGTAGGGCGGCGGGGCCGCGACGTAGGGTAGGGCGGCAGGGCCGCGACGTAGGGCGGCGGGGCCGTCGAAGTAGGGCGGCGGGGCCGCGACGTAGGGCGGCGGCGCCGTCGAAGGGTAGGGCGGCGGGGCCGCGACGTAGGGTGTAGGGCGGCAGGGCCGCGACGTAGGGCGGCGGGGCCGTCGAAGTAGGGCGGCGGGGCCGCGACTTAGGGCGGCGGCGCCGTCGAAGGGTAGGGCGGCGGGGCCGCGACGTAGGTCGGCGGGGCCGCTAGAGTAGGGCGGCGGGGCCGGGACCGAAAGGCGGCGCGACGGGCCACTGGGAGGAGGGGGGGGGGGGCGACACGACGGGTCGCTAAAAAAAAACGCGCGCTTTGGGGCGCGCTTCGGTGGGCCCAAGAAACAGTCCCTAGGAGGGGACCTGCTCTGATTCCATGTGAAAATGAGAACGATGATGGAATGAACTATGAGTGAAGTGGGTACAAGTACTAGCCCTAATTGGGTTGTACCCCCTATGGGATACCCCACTATAGCCCACATAAAAGCATAAGCTATAATGTTCTGACATCCTGCTCTTGCTTGCTTAGCCTCGTATATATATATAAATATATATATATATGTGCTCTTGCATGTGAGCTGGCCTTTTGGCCTTTGAACTTGTGCTCGGAATGTGTGGTGACTTTGTGATCCACCTTGAGCTTTGCTTTGCTTTGCTTGACTGGTCTTGTGACCCCTTGTTCTCCCCCACTTTGCCTATGGGGGTGTGTCAGAACATTATAGCTTATGCTATTGTGTAGGCTATAGTGGGGTATCCCATAGGGGGTACAACCCAAGCAGGGTTTCATATTTGTACTCGCTTCATTCATAGTTCACACCATTCTCTCGTTCTCATTCTCACAGTTCCCAACTGTTTCTTAGTTCATTCATTCTCGTTTCAATTCTCTCATGCATGCATGTACTGCATGTACCATGTACAGAGAGAATAATGCGCTGGCCGGTAAAGTCAGTATGCACGCTTGTGTGCAGGTACAATGCGGAACTGGAACTCTGAATTTTCCAATTATGTGGATCGGAAAGGTTAGAAACTAGTGCTGTTGAAGTAGAAGGTCTAATCTAGTAGATTGGCAAGAATATGGTACTAACTGCATATATACAAACATAAGAAATGGGCCGGTCTGTTTGGTCGGTATGCGCGCCTGTAGCGCAGGTACCATGTACGAATGGAATGTCTATATTTGACAAATAACGCCTATAGGGATTCATGCTTATTCTCGGTCTAATATAATTTTCCGGTTGTTGAATATTTTTCCCTACGTCTATAAGGAGTCATGCGCTTTTTAAGCATTTTTTCGGCAAAAACAGCCGAAACCATAGGCGCCGAATTTTTGCGCACGAACCAAGCCGAAAAAAGCTTTAATAGGTGTATCTGAACATGAGCCCCTCGAATATGCAATGACATTCAGATTGTTGAATGCTCTTCCCTACGCCAATATAATTCATGCGCTTCCTAAGCATTTTTCGGCAAAAACAGTCGAAATCAAAGGCGCCGAACTTTTCTTTGCGCACGAACCAAGCAAAAAAGGTTTTAGTATGTGTATTTAAACATGAGCCACTCGAATATGCAATAGCATTCAGGTTGTTGAATGCTATCCCTACTCCTAAAGGAATTTAAGCGCTTTACTAACCTATTCTAGCACTTGGTCCAAATGACGACTTGGTCCTAGTGACGAACACAGGGAACATGAAACCCGAAATCCAGGGCAACCCATGGTAACACATGGAGACCCGAGAGATTTAGAACCCTAATCCGGAGTTTTAGTTCGCACTGGAATGCTTCGAGGAATGTAGTGCTAGCACATTGTATGTATGTTTCCTTTTTTACAATACCCTTACACTTCAATAAAATATTTGTTGTGGCAGATGCAGTATCACATACATTTCTTAAGGTAATATGGTTACAGGTTTTTCAGGGCACTCATGGACATTGCACATAGGGGAGGGGAACCCAATCACTAGGCAATAATGGCAAACAGGTACCCCCACTAATGCTTTCTCTAACGGGGATGAAGCAGAACAGCTACTGTGGTACAGGGTGGCAGGTGATGTGGTGGTGGTGGTGGTGGCGTGGCGGCGGCGGCAGCGGCGGCGGTGGTGGTGGTGGTGTGGTGGTGGTGGTGCATCAGCCAAGCATCTTTGCCCGTGCGAACAGCACTCCTGCAAAGCACCCTGCGGAAGGAGAGAGAGGAGAAGGAAGCAGGTGGTGGGGTGGGTGAGATGATACAGGGTGATGTGAAGAAGGAATCAGAGAGGGGTGCTGGATTGTTTGAAGCGCAACTAGCAGGGTGCAGTGCTTTATTGTGAAAAAAAAACTGCAAGATGGTTACTCCGTGCGGGAAGTGGCTAGTAGTCCAGCCTTTTTACTCCGTGAGGGGGAGTGGCTCAGTGGAGATAGCAAATAGGGTGCAGGCCAAGTGCGGCACGCACCGAAGAAGGGGGGGTGTGGACGCACTGAAGAGGATAGAGAGGGGGATGGAGAGGGGAGTGAGAGTGCAGTGGGAGTGGGGCACGCACCGAAGAGGATGGAGGAGATGTTGGCAGCGTTGGTGGGCGCATTGAAGAGAATGATGCCGAAGAGCGAGAGCGGGATCTTGTTCAGCGACCCCACCAGGCTGCCAGAGGGTATGATGGAGACATGCGTTGGAATAGAAATGGAGATGTAAGGGACAGACGTTTGCGCGGCACAGGGTAGGTGGGTTGGTGGGGGCGTTGAAGAGAATGATGCCGAAGAGAGAGAGTGGGATCTTGTTCAGCGACCCCACCAGACTGCTCCGCATTGGGGGAGGGGGGAGGGGTAGCGGGGTGATAGAAGGATGGTGGGGACACAGGTTTGAAGAGACTACTGTTGAGGCGCCTCAATACCTTGTTTAGAGACCCCACCAGATGGCCAGGAGGGGGATAGAGGGGTGGTGGGGACACGGGTTTGAAATGAGGGGACAGAGGTTTGTGGGGCGCAGGGTGGGTGGATGCAGGATCTGGGAGGAAGGGGTTGAGAAACTTTGCACCTGTAGCAATCTATACAGTACATTGCTCTGCCCATGATGAATACCTGTAGGTGGTGGGCGAGGTTTGGTGGAGGAACCACATGGAGGTGGTTGGTGGTAGCTGTAGCAAGCTGTACGGTACATGCTGTGCTGCTGTGATGCTGCGCTGCTGCGCTCATGGTACCCACCTGTAGGTGGTGGGCGAGGTCTGGCGCAGGAACCACATGGAGGTGGTTGGTGGTAGCTGTAGCAAGCTGTACGGTACATGCTGTGCTGCTGTGATGCTGCGCTGCTGCGCTCATGGTACCCACCTGTAGGTGGTGGGCGAGGTCTGGTGCAGGAACCACATGGAGGTGGTTGGTGGTAGCTGTAGCAAGCTGTACGGTACATGCTGTGCTGCTGTGATGCTGCGCTGCTGCGCTCATGGTACCCACCTGTAGGTGGTGGGCGAGGTCTGGTGCAGGAACCACATGGAGGTGGTTGGTGGTAGCTGTAGCAAGCTGTACGGTACATGCTGTGCTGCTGTGATGCTGCGCTGCTGCGCTCATGGTACCCACCTGTAGGTGGTGGGCGAGGTCTGGTGCAGGAACCACATGGAGGTGGTTGGTGGTAGCTGTAGCAAGCTGTACGGTACATGCTGTGCTGCTGTGATGCTGCGCTGCTGCGCTCATGGTACCCACCTGTAGGTGGTGGGCGAGGTCTGGTGCAGGAACCACATGGAGGTGGTTGGTGGTAGCTGTAGCAAGCTGTACGGTACATGCTGTGCTGCTGTGATGCTGCGCTGCTGCGCTCATGGTACCCACCTGTAGGTGGTGGGCGAGGTCTGGTGCAGGAACCACATGGAGGTGGTTGGTGGTAGCTGTAGCAAGCTGTACGGTACATGCTGTGCTGCTGTGATGCTGCGCTGCTGCGCTCATGGTACCCACCTGTAGGTGGTGGGCGAGGTCTGGTGCAGGAACCACATGGAGGTGGTTGGTGGTAGCTGTAGCAAGCTGTACGGTACATGCTGTGCTGCTGTGATGCTGCGCTGCTGCGCTCATGGTACCCACCTGTAGGTGGTGGGCGAGGTCTGGTGCAGGAACCACATGGAGGTGGTTGGTGGTAGCTGTAGCAAGCTGTACGGTACATGCTGTGCTGCTGTGATGCTGCGCTGCTGCGCTCATGGTACCCACCTGTAGGTGGTGGGCGAGGTCTGGTGCAGGAACCACATGGAGGTGGTTGGTGGTAGCTGTAGCAAGCTGTACGGTACATGCTGTGCTGCTGTGCTGCTGTGATGCTGCGCTGCTGCGCTCATGGTACCCACCTGTAGGTGGTGGGCGAGGTCTGGTGCAGGAACCACATGGACGTGAAGGAGATGGCGAGCCCCAGCAGCCCGCTCAGCGTCACCGCCACCCAGAAGCCCCCATTCAGCATCAGCGGACTGCTTGTTGTGTGAGGAGGTGCGGAAGGGGCCAGACAGCAAGTAGGCGTGATCAAATAAGCAAGGCGATATGAGATGAGGACAAAGATGCAGACGGCGTGGGTGTGAGGGAAAGAGGGAGTGATGTCTGCTGCCTACCATGGGTGACAATGTGACAATGTGACATGAGTCATGACTCGCTTATGAGTGCTCACTCACCGTTTTAACCCTAAGAATGAGGAAGTAGGCAACTCACGAGTGCAGGAGGTATTTGGTTTCGCTGAAGGCGATGATGAGGAGGATGGCGGGAGGGAAGGAGAGCGCGTTGTTGAGCAGCACCATCGTGAACTCCGACAGCTGCCCGCTCTTGGTCGCAGCTTTCGCACTGTCCATCACCTTGCGCAGGGTTAGCTGTTGATGGGGGAGAGGGGAGGGAAGCAGGGAAGGAGGTTTGAAGTGTCTTAGCGCCACCCTGTCCCTCACATCACCTTGCGCTGCTTGTTTGGCAAGGGGATGGGGGGAGAGGGAAGATAGGGAAGGGAAAGCGGGCAAGAGGGAAGGAGAGCGCATTGTTGAGCAGCACCATTGTGAACTCCGACAGCTGCCCGCTCTTGGTCGCCGCCTTGGCACTGTCCATCACCCTGCCCAGGGTTAGCTGGTTAGAGGAGGGGAAGGGCAGCCAGGGAGAGAAGCCAAGGGCATGAGGGGAAGAGAAACAGCACCATTGTGAACTCCGATAGCTGCCCACTCTTGGTCGAGGCCTTGGCGCTGTCCATCACCCTGCCCAGGGTTAGCTGGGAGAGAGGAGGTGGGAGGGGGGGGAGGGGAGGGGAGAGAGAGCGGGGCAATCGGATGGGAAGGGCTGTGCTGACTGACTGATAGCTGTGAGGGCCTATCTGCCCACGCTTGGGCATTGAGCGTGGCAGGGAAGTGCCTATGGCAAGGCACAGTGGAGAGGTGGGCAGTGACATGCTTGTGGCAGTGGCATACTGCGTGGAAGGGCAGTGCATATGGCACAGCACAGTGGAGGGTTCAGCACAGTAACGGGTTGCGGCATACCGAGTACGCGGCGGTGAAGAAGCAGTTGAAGATCTGCCACGTGTAGCCCACTGGATGGAAGGCCAGGTCCGTGAAGCCGCCACAGAAGGCCGATAGGATCTGCCACGTGGCACCGGGAGACATGGGGAGCAAAGAGGCACACAGGCGGCATGGGTAGCACAGGGCGCAGGGGGAGAAGAAGGAAGGGGATTGGGAATGCTGGCGGCGCAGGGTGAGGAGAGGATGAGGGGGGGCGCGACAGAGGGTGGAGCCGTGCTGCATGGCGCAGTGAGGATGTGGCATGCCAGGGTGAGCGGATAGAGAGGGTACAGTTAGAGGTGACAGCGGTGGCGCGGCAGAGCATGGCATGAGAGAGCAATAAGGGCTCGTGAGAGAGGAAGGGGGGAAGAGAGGCGGTACGGACCATGAGGAAGAGAGAGCCCCAGACTTTGGAGGAGTGGCGCTTGAGGCGCCTCGAAAGTCAATAATGACTCGTGAGAGAGGAAAGGGGGGAGGAGCTGACCATGAGGAAGAGAGAGCCCCAGACTTTGGAGGAGTGGCGCTTGCGGAAGAGGTACATCTCGCCCACCGCCGTTATCAGGTTCGTCACGTTCTTTAATATCGTCACCATCGCCACCTGCATGTACTGTAGACTGCAAGAGGGAAAGGTGGGGGAGGGGAGCGGAGGAGGGGAAGAGGTACATCTCGCCCACCGCTGTGATGAGGTTGGTCACATTCTTTAGTATTGTTACCATCGCCACCTGCATGTACTGTAGGCTGGGTGGGAGGGATGGGAGGAGGGTGTGGACGGGGTGGAAGTGGGGAAAGGGAGGGGCTAGGGTGAAAGAGGGTTGACGCGTTTTTTGAGTGTTGAGGTTGAACGACATGAGAGGTTGAATGGAGCAGTCGAGCAATTGAGAGGTTCAGATGCTCAGGAGTCAGGCACCTGAACTGAGGGGCGCCTGAAGGAACAGGCAGAGCATCTGAACAAAGAGAGACAGCAACTAACAGGGAGGGCACCTGAAGAAGGAGGTGACGAGCATGCCAACGAAGATGAGGTTGACTGGTAACCACACGGTCATGAGTCGCAGCGTGAGGGGCTCCGTGGCGATGACGCCCATATACACGAGCACCAGCACCACCGTCACGCTCACCAGGTTCTGTGCATGCACGGGGGACATGTGAGCGTGGGATTGGCAGAGTAGGTTAGTCGAGGAGGAGACGGCCGGGAGCGGCGTACGAGAGTGGAAGTAGCCTGATGCAGGGTGCTGGGCGGCAGGGCGTGCGGGGGGGAGCATGATATAGGAAGGGGACGGGGGAGTGAGGTAGGAAGAAAGAAGGGTGGGAGAGATGGAACGACCGGGAGGTGCAACTACAAAGGTGGATAGGGCGGGTGGGCAGGCAGGCAGACAGGCAGAAAGGAAGGGCGGGAAAGAGGGGCAAGTGGGGGAGGCAAAGAAGGAGGGGGTGAGGGAGGGAGGGAGGGAGGGAGAGAGGGAGAGAGGGAGGGAGGCAGAGAGGGAGGGAGGGATGGAGGGAGGGAGGGAGGGAGGGAGGGAGGGAGGGAGGGAGGGAAAGAGGGAGGAAGAGAGAGAGGGAGGGAGGGAGGCAGGGAGGGAGGGTGGGAGGGAAAGAGGGAGGGAGGGAAGGGGGTGGGGGGCGTGCCTGGTAGAGCATGAGGGAGATCTGCGCGTCCCAGTGGTAACCAGACAGCACGACTTTGTTGAGAAGGATCATGGAGCACGACGACGCGCAGTAGCACATGCCCGACACCAGCGCGCTCCCCGCCACCTGGAACCGCCGCGACCGCCGCCCGCCCCCGCTCGCGCCCACCGCCCAGTTGTCATCCCGCTTGCGCTCAGACGCGGAGTCCGCGCGGAAGAAGCTCGCGAGTTTCCCCTCGGACGCGGAGCTTCCGCCGCCGCCGGGGGAAGGGCCCGCGCCGCCGCCTATGCTGTTGCTGTGGTGGTGGTGGCGCTCTTTAGGGCCCGCGCTTCCGCCGACGGAGAGGAGCGGCGACCGGAGATCAGCCTGCTGCGCGCCTTCCTCCACGTCAGCCGCCGCGTGCGATCTGCATGCGACGCGGCGAGATGGAGTGGTGAGTGCGTTGGACTCCCTGGCGGCATGTGCGGGGGCAAGCTGCGCGGCGAGGGTTACGGCGCAGGCGCAAGGAGCATTCGGGTGTCGTACCTGGGTGTTAGACTCGGCAAGTTGTGACTTTTGCTCCCCATGTTGCTGTGAGACGAACGCTGTGCGACGAGCTGCTGTGCGACGAGCTGCTGTGCGACGAGCTGCTGTGCGACCTGCTGTTCAGCGATACCTGGCGCGAATTCGGCAGAGCGAAGGTAAGAGCTTCCAACGCGGGCCGTGACGAGCTAACTACGCAATGCTCTGTGCAGCGCTCTGTGAGATACTGTGTGCGACGCTCTTTGCGACGCTCGGTGCGATACTTCGTGCAAAGCACTAAGCGGCTCCATTCTGCAGCATGGCGGGCAATCACCAGAGCAATTACGGAAAATCGAGAGCTTATAATGAGAACAGCGAATCGGCTCGTCCTAGTTGTGAGCCTTGTAGATCGCCCGGAAACGCGGAAATTAGAATCTGCATCAACATATTGAAATCATGACGGCCTTTCCGGGGGATATCAAGCGACGGCAGAAACGGCGGTATCCTTCTCGCTCTTCGCCTTCGGTAGATAATGTCTTCAAATGTGTGAGTTGTGAGTCGCGTCTGTGTGATGAGATGATGCAGCTGCTGGCGCATACCAGCTGGTGAATGCGCTGTCATGCGCTGGGGGATATTTCTCTGTGACCTGCGCCTGCAAAGTGAGGTTGGTGGGTCGGTGAGGCTTGACGAAACTCATAACGAAGGATGGCGAAGACCTGGAGCTGGGAATTCTTTCGTTATTGCAACGCACTGATACAATTATGCTTTCGGTGGCGCACGAATATATTGCTATAAGAATCATCGTTTTATCGTGGAACCGAAATGACAGTGTACCAAACTGTGATATCAAACCCTGACACCCCTGATTATTCAGACTTCGGCAACGCCTGTAATCTCACTAGTGTTTCTGTGCCAACGAACCACAGAGCACAGCCTAAAGCGTTCCCACACCCTCGTTACAATCTCGAAACTGCCATCCAGTCTCTGTTCTGCACTCTCCTTCAAACCCTTGTTCCCAATCCAACCCAAGCAACACCCACACACCCCGCCTTCGGACAGTAAGAACCACTCCACGACATTTCTCCCCCGATCTGTTCGCACTCAGTTGTTCAAATCGCCAAACCCTCGCTTCAAACGCGCAATCACCGCCAACCCTCCCTCTGACCCTAGCTCCATGGCTCCCATGTAATTACCTCCTCCATTCTATTCAAGACTCAATTTCGCTCTCACGCCGCATCCTCGACACGCCCTGGGTGGGAGGCACCAATTTGAAAATCGCTTCGTTTGAATTTTACACAGCGCGGATATCACCGCGGTTCGTTGATCGTGTTCGCTAGACTAGACTGTACTACCGTAGCACCGTGCTCCTCCATCCCACTCGCGCTTTTCAAAGACCTGCCGCCTCTCCACGCTTAGCGAAAAGTTTCCGCCGCTTACTTTTTCCGTCCGCGCTCCGGTCTCCAGTTCGCGCATGTCGCATCATCTGCCGCTGCTCCCCGGAATGGCGGACGACGGGCCGCTGGGCGTGGCGGGCGCGTATGACGACGCGCTGATGGCGTCGGCGGCGGACCGCCAGTCGCACTGGGGCTTCCACGAGACCAAGGAGCTGATCGCGCTGCGCGGCGAGATGGAGCGCGATTTTGTGCCGGGGCGCACGAGCAACCACGTGTGGGAGACCATCTCGTCGCGCATGAAGGAGAAAGGGTACCGCCGCACGCCCAACCAATGCAAGTGCAAGTGGAAAGTGCTCGTCAACCGCTACAAGGTACCCGCCGCGCAACGCCCGCCGCATTACGGAGTTAGTGCTTTTTTATTTTCCGTTTTAAACTTCCTCTTCTCCTAATTTTTCTCCCGCTACCCTCTCCTCGTTCCACCCGTGCACCCGCGCGCCCCGCCAGAACAAGGAGCTCTCGGCGGACGGCTCACGCTCGTGCCCGTTCTTCGATGAGCTGGACGCGATTTTCAAGCAGCGCGCGCGCAACATGGACCGCCTGCTCGTGCAGGCGGAGGGCGGCGGCACGCCCGGCGGAATCGGCGCCAGCGGCGGCATCGGCAGCGGATTCTCCGCAGGAGGCGGCGGGGCCGGAGCAGTCGGAGGCGCCCTGGGCATGCGCGGAAGCTTCGGCGGGGGGTTGGGCGCGCGGGGGGGCGCGGGGGGCGTGGGAGGGGGCTTGCTCACCCGGCGGGCGCGAGACGAGGAAGAGGAGGAGGAGGACGACGAGGAGGAGGGGGAGGACGAGTTAGAGGGCGAGTTGAACGTGCTGCGCAACAAGAGGCGCAAGCGCGACTTCAACGCTGGCGCGCGCAAGGCCGCCACAGGGGCCTACGGCGCGGGCTCCCCTGGCATGGGGAAGGGCGCGTCCGCTGGCGCAGGGGGCAGCGCGGGCGGAGACGCGTTTGATGGCATGGGCGGGGGGGGGAACGGGGGGGGGGACAGGCGCGCGGTGCTGGAAAGGCAGCGCGCGGGGAGCATGCAGGAGGTGCTGGAGCAGTTCTTCGTGCAGCAGCTGCGCCTGGAGCAGGAGTGGCGCGAGGCCATTGAGCGGCGCGAGGCGGAGCGCAGGGTGAGGGAGGGCGAGTGGCGCAGCAGGCTGGAGGCGCTGGAGAGGGATCGCGCGCAGCGAGAGTCCATGTGGCGGCAGGTGGGTTGGGGAAGAGCGGGGGGGCAGGTGAGTGTTGAAGGGGGAGGTCAGGTGGTTGTGGTGGGGGGTGCGTGGAAAGGTTTCTACGGCAAGCCCTTCGCTCTCAGAGGGAGTCAATGTGGTGCCAGGTGGGTGTGGGGGCAGGTGAGTCCATTTTCGTCCCTCCTACTGACCCCCTTCATAACAAGCATTCATCTGCCTTCCACCATGTGGTCGCGTGCGTGCATTCCTGCGTGTATGTGGGTGCAGATGGAGGCGGAGAGGGCAGCAAGAGAGGACGAGAGAGCAGCACGCAGGGACCAACTCATCATCGCTCTCATTACCAAGCTCTCTGCCCCGCCTGCTCCACCCCCTGCTGCACCCGCACCTTCTGCCCTGCCTGCAACCACCCCTCCTGCTGCCAATGGTACCGTTGCTGCTGACCAAGCTGTTGCTGCTGCTGCTGCTGCCCCTGATTCAGCAGCGCCAGCCACGGTGCACAAGCTGGGGGCTGCAGTGGGTGGGACCATCGCTGCTGCTGAGGCTGCAGCTGCTGATGTCATTGGCACTGCTGCTGCGGGTGGTGGTGGTGCTGGTAGTGTGGGAGGTGGAGGTGGGGAGAAGGATGGGGTGGGGGCTGTGCAAGCAGATGCTGCCGTGGTTGGAGTGCAGGAGCCTATTGCAGTGTAGATGACATTGATTCAATCGTTTTGCAGGATGTGTTTCTGGTTCCTAGATATTATAATTTTTAAACACACATGTAGTGTTTTTTAAAATTGTGTATTGTGAAAGCGAAGCTGCTTGTATTGCACAATTGGCATCGTCGAAGCGCGCTAAACGCCCTTCTCCAACTACAAAAACCGTGGGTTGGAGCTCATTTCCCTCCACCCACGTTTCTCAATTTTCAAACGGCTCACTCAACATTTTCCGCTCGAGTAGTTTTTCCCTCCAAGCTGGCTAGGATTAAATCGCTTCCTAGAGGCGAGTCACCCTCTACTTTACTCAGCGACATTTTCAACTTCAATCGCTCAACGATGGCACCTACGCCGACACTTAACAACGGGAACTCGTCAACCCCCGCTTCCGACTCCGACCGTAACGCCCGCGATTCTGCGGGCGAACGCCGTAACAAGCGTCGGGCAGAAGACGGACCTTCCGCCCCGACTGCAGTGGACGTGCTGCTGGGCGGGCTCGAGGTCCACAAAAACGCCGAAACCCAGCAGCACCCTTCGGTCCCTGTGGCGCCAGTGGCGCCTGTGGCGCCAGTGGCGCCTGTGGCGCCAGTGGCACCTGTGGCGCAAGTGGCGACGGGGACTGGCGCGGCACACGCGACTGACGCCGAGCACACGCCAGCACCCGCTGCTGGACCGTCGCGTCAGCGTCAGAGGAGGCGGACTGCAGTCTCCTCGTCTGACGCGACCGCCGCCCCTGCGCTGACGCAGGCGTTGACCCCGGACCAGGTCAACGCGCTGCTGTCCCTTCTACAGCAGCAACCCGTCAGCGTTACAGCCGCGGAAACTGCACTACCCGCCGCATCTGCGTCGGCTAAAAAAGAAACTGCAAAAAAGGAGAAAGGCACACGGGGAGCACGGACGAACCGGCATGACAACGACGCAGCGACTGCCGCTCCCCCTGCTCCAGCGGTCGACAACGACACCGACGACTCTGAAGATGAAGCCGGTGAGGCTCCAGTCAACAATGTTAATTTTATTGGCACGGAAAACCTTCCCCCCCTCCCTTCTTCTAATCTTACCTTCTCGGCGGCAACCTTCGTCAACGACTCCGTGCGAGAGCAAGCGGAGCTACTGGAGGACCTGCGGGCGTACCTGCTGCACGCCGAATACAAGGCGCAGCGCGGTGATCCGGCGGGCGGACTCGAACTCATCTCACACGCTCTCAACCTCATCGCGGGGCGTTTCGAGGTGCTTCAAGTGGAGGACGCCTCCGACTTTCGCACGGCGAAGCGCTTTAAGCTGTACCAGCAGAAGAGCCTGCTGACTTCTCGACCCTTCAAGCAGGCGGTCGCGGACATGGCGGCGATGGACCGTGCGGCAAGCGGATACGCTCGTGTCAACCGCGGCGGAAACAACGGGCCGATGCCGTTCTTACCCAAGCGAGGCCCCCCGCCCACGGCCAATTGCCGTGGGTTCCGGGGCTCATGCTTCCGCTGCGGCCAGCCGGGCCACGTGGCAAGTGCCTGCCCTCGGAACGGGCATGGAGGCCAGGGACCCGCTCCGGTGGTGTAGGAGCGGGCCATGAGACTAGGCGCTTGGGCGCTAGGCACGGTGCACTCTTGAGTGCGAAAACCGTGGGCAACCCTAGGGGTTTGCGATGGCAAGAGGCCAGCCCTAGTAAAGGGTGGGATAGGCTTGGGCCTAGGATAGGGAAGGGGAACAACAACCCCTCGGTCCCATATGTTGGCCACTTGGTGGCATGCTAGGAAAGCATTGCTATGTGTGTTGGTTGATTTAATAAAAACTACCTTCCTAAAGGCCTATGGTTTTGGCAAAGAGAGAATGAGAGAAAGCACAATGGACAACGGTGTCCATGGCCCTAGGCATCAGCCCCTACGCACTAAGGGCAGGCACAACTCTCAGAATCCCAACCACTATACCATTGGGATAAAAGGGCTTGTTTTAGTAGCGGGTCAGTGCGCCCATAACCCCCCAGGCAAACGTGCCTGTAACCCTTCCCTAGGATCGATCGGGGATCACCAGTGGACCTCTGACAACAACCATGTCCTACCAAATGGACGACGGGGCAAAAAAAAAAAAAAAAAAAAAAAAAAAAAAAAAAGGGGAAACGAGGAGAAGAAGAGACATGCGTTGACATGCGTTAATATTCCCGACACATTCGTTGACATTTCATTCAATTGTTCATTCTCTTCACACCTTCGATCAATGGTTGCCCGTACAAGTACATGCACACGCATGCTTTAACGTGGAATACTCAAAGCTTATACCACTTGGTCTCAAATGTACAGGTGCACGACGGTGCGAGGCGGCATGCCACGACGATCCGTACGAATTTGCCGTTACAGACAGAACTATTACACACATGCGCGGTCGTCTTCGCGCGACATTTGCGTGGTGGAGCTCATGGTGCCCCAGCAGCCTTGTCCTCTCCGTCATCGCCAAGGGTTACTGGTTGCCATGGAGCCACGGCCCACCGCAACATTTCCACGATCGCAATCATGTAGGGGCAAACACGCATGCCACGTTCACACGTACCGCCATCCAAGAACTCATAGAGACGGGAGCGGCAATTCCGATGGCCGCAACGGAGCTTACATGCATAAGTCCACTCAACGTGGTCGAGCAAAAAGACAAATGCAGGCTCATTCTTGATCTGAGGAAAGTCAACGCCAACTTGATCATCCCCAAGTTCAAGTACGAAGGGCTCAGCCGCGTCGCCGACCTTGCGCGCGTTGGGGACTGGATGTTCTCCATTGACCTCAAATCTGGTTACCACCACATCGACATCCACCCATCGTGCTGGAAGTTCCTTGGCTTTGAATTTGATAAGCGCACATACGCATTCCGTTCACTACCATTTGGCCTCGCGACAGCTCCATTCGTTTTCACGCAGCTCATCAAGCAACTAGCTCGGCGTTGGCGAGAACAAGGCATCCGAGTCGTACCTTACGTGGACGACATCTTATTTCTCTGCCAGTCGAAAGAGGACGCGCAAGCAACTTGCCAGCGGGTGATATTGGATCTTAAAGAGGCAGGCCTTGTGATAAACGCGAAGAAATCACAACTGTCACCATCGCAGCGTCTCCGATTCCTGGGCGTAGAACTCGAGACCGATACCGGCCGATTCTCCATCGGTCCGGACCGACGAGCCTCACTACATGCAACCATCCGGAACCTCCTGAGCGCAAGCAAGGCATGCCGACCAGTCCCGGTCCGCCACGTGGCCAGAATCACTGGCATGCTCGCATCGATGGGTGTCGCACTTGGCGCGACAGCTCGCGCATTCAGCCATGCTATGTTACAAGTGATCGACGACGCACCGTCATGGAAAAGCAGCGTCGTTATCCCCCCATCTGCAGCAGAAGAGCTCCAATTTTGGCTCGAGGAGTTCGACCGTTTCAACGGCGCACCTTTTCACGTCAAGAACAGCTACGACGCGGTAATCCACGTGGATGCCAGCTCTCATGGTTGGGGCGCCACTCTGACCACATTTCCGGGTGGCATCGAAGAAGCTAGCGCAACCATGTCAGAGCCGCTACGAGGAACGTCCAGCACGCGACGGGAGATCGAAGGCGTCCTTTGGGCGCTACAAACGTACGCGAACAAGATCAAGCAAAAACACGTTCTCGTGCGGGTGGACAACCAGGGCGTATTCTTCATCCTTCGCAAAGGCGGCTCTCACAGCCCCGACCTCACAACGGCATGCAAGAGCATCATCCGAACATGCATGGCGCTTGGCACGCGCTTGATCATTGAATGGATTCCGCGCGAGCTCAACACACACGCCGACGAGCTTTCAAAAATGGTCGACCACGACGATTACGCGCTGAAAACGCCGTGGTTCCGGATCTTGGAACGTCGTTGGGGTCCTCACTCCATCGACCTTTTCGCAAACTCCCGCAACACCCAACTGCCGCGCTTCTGTTCAAAGATTCCCCACCCGGCAGCCATTGCAGTTGATGCGTTCTCGATCCCGTGGACACCTGAAAACAACTTCGCCTTCCCCCCACCTCAACTGGTCCCAGCCGTCCTCCATCACGCACAACGCACCCATGCATCACTCACACTGATAGTTCCGCACTGGCCAGGCGCAAACTGGTGGCCACTCTTGCAACCCTCCCCACGCACTTGGGCACCACACATCCACGCGCACATCCCTCTGACACACGGAAGCCAATGCCTAGACGTAGGGTCCCATTCATCTGCTTTTTCGGGCATGGGACTACCGCACAGCCCAATCATTGCACTGCGAGTGGCATTTGACTAATTCAAAATATATACACCTTGTGTTCAGATTTGCTCCCAAAGTTACACGACCAACTGATCAACATGCTCGCGCAGTCCCGCGCCGATTCTACGATCCGGACATATGAACCATACTGGGCCAAGTTTCGAGCCTTCTGCACAAAAGTGAACCTTCCATTCCTCCCGGCATCCGACATGACCCTCGCGCTATACCTGGTACACGCAATCCGACGCAAAGCCACCCTGTCCGTAGTGCAGCTAACCTGCTCGGCGGTCAGCTTCGCCCATCGCATGACCGGGAGCAAATGCCCGACAACCGGACCGTTCACCACCCAAGTCCGTGACTATGCAAAGCGACACTGCCCACGCCCTACTCGTCTGAAGGAACCCGTCTCGATCCAACAAGTCCAGGAAATGGCCGCGAGCTACTTGCAGTCTGACGATCCTGCGCAATTTCAGAAAGGGTTGATACCCATCCTCATGTACTCCGGATTCCTGCGATACTCTGACCTAGTAGCCATAAAATGGCAAGACATCCAATTCGACGACGAGGTCATGTGGATTCTCATACCACACTCCAAGACCGATCAAGCTGGTCACGGCACTTGGATACCCATTGCAGCAACGGCGGACCCCTGCTGCCCAGTGCGCTGCACCCGACGCTTCATCCGACTCGCTGGCTATGGCCCACGGTCAGAGGGACCATTGATTCGTGTCTTCGGTCACGGTTCAACCAGCGAGGGCCAGGCT